ACCAATGATCACCTCTGAGCTCACTGCCACTGCATTAGTGCATACCACAGCACTCGCTGCCACTGCACCAATGCATGCCTCAGCACTCACTGCCACTGTACCAATGCCCACCTCTGAGCTTGCTGCCGCTGCACCAATGATCACCTCTGAGCTCACTGCCACTGCACCAATACATGTGTCAGCACTCGCTGCCACTGTACCAATGCCCACCTCTAAGCTTGCTGCCACTGCACCAATGATCACCTCTGAGCTCACTGCCACTGCATCAGTGCATGCCTCAGCACTTGCTGCCACTGTACCAATGCACGCTTCTGTGTTCTTCATCACAGCAGTGCTTCACCAATCCATATTTAGCCCATTCAACAAACGGCCACACTTTGATGGTTGTATACATTTGAAAAAGCATACAGGTTTCATTTTACATGTGTACCATGCCAGTAGTACTGACAACTAAATAAATTGCTTAAATACCACAACCTAACTCTTACCGAACTGAGTATAATGTGGCCTGCTGTGGATTGCGGTGTAGACAAATATCCAAACCTGAAGGGCACAATGCAGTGCATTCTCTCTAGCAGCTGGATCGTATTTTTACTTGGACAGAGCTTGCTGTACAAGTTCTCACTTACAGAAGTTGATGCCCTCTTCCATTTTTTTTTTTTAATTTTTTTACATCCTCTACTTTTTTTCATCAGTTTATCATCAGCCTCTTGGGTCCTTATAGAGACATAAATCACATTTATTGTCTGTATATCTTATAAACAAAGAGCTTTACTTGAACTCAGTCTGTTATGAAGTGATAGCTTTCTGATACATAAGCTTTGAAGCGACAACAGGTATATTCTACACAAAATCTATAAAAGAAAGGTTTGGGAAAAAATTAAGTGCCGGTTCATACATATGCAGATTGGATGCGGTTTGAACTGCATCCAATCCGCATGACATGTGAAATAACATTGCTTCCTATGGTGCCTGTTCACATATGTTTGGTGCACTGGCAGTGCAGATTCAGTGCGGATTGAAAAAGAGTCCAGTCAATTTCTGAACAGTGTGGTCCAGTTTAGGTGCGGATTACAGGCCATTGACTTCTATGGGAACCGTTTCTAAACCACACATGTCATCAGTTGTGAACAGGATAAAATCCTGACCTGAATCTGATCTAAACCTGTCCTGAACCTGATGTAAACCTGACCTGAACAACTACTGTGTCAATTAGCTGTGAAACCTGAGCTTCAATCCACACCACACATGTGTGAATCAGCTCTTACAAAATATCTAACCTAAGGCTGGCCATACACGTGTAGATTTTTGGACAAGAATATTCGTAAGAAAAGTCGTACAAAAATTCTTTGAACATTCAATGAATGGACGAATTGTCTTTTGCTTATAACAATCGACTTTAAAATGAATTTAATTTTTGAACGATAACCACATACACTGGCCGAACATTCGTTTTGATTGAGAAAAGTTTTCCTTCCTGCCCCTTTGAATTTTCCTGTGACTGTGGTTGAAAGCAAACATTGATTTGACCCCACTAACGATTAGAAAATCAAATGAATAATCTTGAAACAAAAATTCTCGAATGAAAATCTATACATGTATGGCCAGCTTTACTCTCCACTACCACACAGCAGATGGTGAAGTTACGATCTACCCAGCGAGATCCTGGGAATGCTGATTATCCAAAATATCATGAAAAGGTGCTCCGACACAATGCAGGAATACCTTCTCAAACGATTTAGGATCCTTAGCATTCCCAGAATTTTGACCCTTGCCCATGCACTGCACATGCAGGCTGGGGTTATATTTAAAAATAAATGTTTTTCTTTTGCTTTAACCGCATGCCGCCCAGCCACTGTACATATACGGTGGCAGGGCGGCACTCACAGGCAAATCCACCTTTTAAAACGTGTGTTTTGTAAACAAATAGCGGTGCGCGCGAGGTGCGCCGCCGTCCTATCTGTTCCGCCGATCACTGCCGCAGATGTGAGTCTCCGGGTCACAGCCGCTCCTTAGCGGCTATCTCCCGGTGATCGGCGGCAAACAGTGACAGACAGCACAGCTGCAGTAGCTGTGCTGTCTGTCACTTCCCTGTCAGCTCGAGGATGAGCTGATCGAGAGAGAACAGTTTCTCTTTCTCGATCAGCCTTGTCCCGTCCAGTACACACCCCTGCCCCCTAAAAACACTCCCCTCACTCCTATAACCCTTCCATGCAAAATAAAGTTAACCCCTTCCTCCCCATTGCCATTAGTACAGTGTCAGTGTTTTTTTTTTTGCACTGATCACTGTGTTTGTGTTTTTGGGGATGTCCGTGACCCCAAGTCAGTACCCCCCAAAGTCAGAATGTCCGCCGCAGTCCCATCATAAGTCACTGGTCGCTGCCATAAGTCCCTGATTGCCGCCATAATTCGCTGATCGCCGCCATTATTAGTATAAAAAACCCCCCTAAAAATCCCAGTATCTTTCCCGCCATTTGTAAACGCTATAACTTTCACGTAAACCAATTAATTTACACGTATTGGGTTTTTTTTTTTTAGCAAAGACATGTCGCAGAATGCATTTTGGCAGAAATTTATGACTAAATTTGATTTTTGCATTTTTTTTTTTACTGGACATGTTTTATAGCAAAATGGCAATCAAATACCACCGAAAGAAAGCTCAATTTGTGGGGAAAAAAAGGATGTAAATTTCATTTATGTACCGTATTGCATGACCGCGCAATTGTCCGTTAAACTAGCGCAGCGCTGTATAGGTGAAAAATGGCGTAAAGTGCAGTATCTATACCATAGATTGTAGACGCTATAACTTCCACACAAAGCAATCAATATACACTTATTGGGATTTTTTTTACCAAAAACATGTAGCAGAATACATTTTGGCCTAAATTTATAACCAACTTTGAGTTTACTATATATTTTTTATAGCTGAAAGTAAAAAATATTGTTTTTCTTCAAAATTGTTGGCCTTTTTTTGTTTATAGCGTGAAAAATAAAAAGCGCACAGGTGATCAAATTACACCGAAAGAAAGCTCTATTTGTGTGAAAAAAGGACGTAAATTTCATTTGGGTGCAGCATTGCATGACCGCGCAATTATCAGTTGAATTAGTGCAGCGCCGAGTAGCAAAAAGAGGCCTGGTCATTAAGGGGGGTAAATCCTCTGGAGCTCAAGTGGTTAATATGAGAGTGCGGGACCCGATGTAATAAGTAGACCTTAATATTTGGGAGGGGACCCTGTACGCGGCCTGCTGCTTTAATAGTTGTATGAAACTGTTCTTTAGTTTCATTAGCTGCCAAAATAACAGATTTTTACAGAATTTGCTAATTGAAAAGACTTATGTAAGCTGCACTGATGCAAACTGTGTTCTTTCGGCTGTTTTAACTCCATCAGCTTTTTAGAAAATTATTATGTAATGTATTCTATTCCCTAAGGCAAAACTAAAACACCATCTATTTTTGTGCATACTAGCTGTTTTGTTGCAGTGTTTGCATGCTTGTTAACTGATTTTTCTAAGATCAACATTTATTAGTCTCTTGTATAAAACAGTCACCAGCTTCTTTTATTTGTTTCTTTTTTTTAGTTTTTCTTTGCAGTCCAGAAGATCTATACCTAAGTGAATGGAAGGAGTATAGGGAGCGAGCATGTATGCTTAAAGGATAAGTGCACTTTTAGTGCATTTATCTTTTATACCCCTTTCCAAATGAAAAATAAATACTAGGCTGTTTCCGATCGCTATTTCTTTATTAATCCATTCTTACAGGGCACTCAAGAATCCTCCATGCAGTATGCTGCTTCCTGATTTACAAATGTCATGGAAGTGGCAATTTAAAAAGTTTAAGGCCACATATTGCAGGGATATACTAGGGGCGGTGGTTAGCACCACCTTTCAGAAAAGTCAAAGTTTGGATACTTCATGCTTCCAGGGTGTCTTGCATTGATTCAGTAATAGATTTTAAAGAAAGCGGTATGGATCAGCAACTTGCAGTTTCGGTACCTTTAAGAAGCATTCTGTTAATGTGCATTATGAGACAGGTTAAATGTGTTGTTATAAGGCAGTCCATTCATTATAACATTGTGGTACACTGCAGTGCATTGGGCTCTATTGCACAATGCATTTTACAATCAATGGTATCCCAATGCACAACATAGTATGTCATGCGTTAGCATGCATTGCCAAAACGCAGAAGTGCGAATGAACTCTCAAGCAAATCTGTCATATACACTTTCAAGTTAAAACAACAGGTTTGCTTATTTCCTTCAATCCCCCACAGTATGTACTTCCCTTTATTTCACTACTCTGATGCTTCTTTCAGCTACCGGATCCAAAAGAAATACCGGATGTTTCTACGTATGAAACAGCATGTGATTCACTTTATTTGAGAGTGCTGGATCTATCAGTACCCGATGTGTAGATCTATGTCAGTTATGACTTTGGTGACTTGCAGTTTACACAGGGCTTTCCTTTCACTTTTGGCAGCTAAAATATAGCAAAAGTACAGTAAGTATTTGGTCCTGTGAAAGTCCCCTTTAACCACTAGCCTACAGGGCACTTATACCCCCTTCCTGCCCAGGCCAATTTCCAGCTTTCAGCGTTGTTGCACTTTGAATGACAATTGCGCGGTCATGCAACACTGTACCCATATGAAATTTTTATCATTTTTTTGTGACAGAGCTTTATTTTGGTGGTATTTAATCAACTCTGGGCTTTTTATTTTTTTTTAAACAACCCAAAAACCACTGAAAATGTAGAAAAAAAATGTTTTTTCTTTGTTTTTGTTATAAAATTTTGTAAATAAGTGATTTTTCTCCTTCACTGATGTGCGCTAATGAGGCTGCAGTGATGGGCACTGATAGGCTGCACTGATGGACACTGATAGGTAGCACTGGTAGGTGGCACTGATGGGCATTGACAGGCATCACTGATGGGCACTGAAAGGCAGCACTAATATATGGCACTGATAGACGGCACTGACTGGCACTGATAGGCGGCACTGACTGGCACTGATAGGCGGCACTGACTGGCACTGATAGGTGGCACTGACTGGCACTGATAGGCAGCACTGACGGGCACTGAAGTGCACTGATAGACAGCACTGACTGGCACTGATAGGTGGCACTGATTGACAGCACTGATAGGTGGCACTGACTGGCACTGATAGGTGGCACTGATTGACAGCACTGATAGGTGGCACTGATTGGCATTGATAGGTGGCACTGGCTGTCACTGATGTGTGACACTAAAAGAGCAGCTCAGATGGGCACTGATATGTGGCATTGATGTGCACTGGTAGGCACTGATATGTGGCATTGATGTGGCACTGATGGGCACTGACACAAGGCACTGATGGACACTGTCAGGTGGTACTGCTGGGGCTACACTGATCATCAGTGCCCTGATGATCAGTGTACATGTCCCCTCCACGGAATGCCGATTGCTGGCTCTCCTCTCGAGCTGTTATCGTGACAGCTCGAGAGGAGAGAAATGCCAATAATCAGCATTTCCCTGTTTACATGTGATCAGCTGTGATTGGACACAGTTGATCACATGACTGAGCCGACATCTTCGGCTCTTTTCGTGGATCGGTGATCCGCTGTGTCCAAGGGACACAGAGCACCGTCTATCACCGCGCTGCACGTTCCCGGAGCCGCGCATGTGCAGTGAGAATGGGGTCATATGACGTCCTCCCAGAACGAGAGAAACCACCATGCGTCCATCATATTACTATATGGTGGGCGGGAGGTGGTTAACCTTTGTTTTGCAGAGGCTGTTTATTAGAGCTAAAACTCTCTCAATTAACATTGACTATTTTAAATACTTATGCTGCCAGCATTACCAAATATTTTTTTTTTATTTTCAGTCCTAGGTAAATGATGTCATACATCCCAGGAGCCTTCATAGGAGAAAGAGGAGTGGATGGATTTTCTCAGCTAAGGGCAGATGGTTCCAGGAAGTAATTGCTCCATGAATCATCTGCCTTTACTCAAGATGGCTGCTCCCAGAAATGCTCAGGGGTGTTTTTCAAAATGATTTATCAGTTAAATAAAGCATGGAGATATAGATGAATGGATGGGTTTGCTTTAAATAACAAAAATTAATTAAAGGACAAGTTCACCTTTTGTAACCTGATGCATATTCAGGGTGTAACACGTAATATGTTACAGATGCACCAGCCTCTGCTCCCCTCCCCTCTGCTCCCACATTTTGACAGCTAGCGGGGGATCTCCTCCATTCATTCACAGTACATTCATCACAGTATTCTGTGAATGGGAAAACTACAAGTTCCAACAGCCTTTGCAGATATCAGCTTGTAGTTCTCAATGAACTACCTGGGCCCTGTATCGGAGGGCAGGCAGTTATACTCTGAGGTACAGTGCCCTCTCAGTTCATTGAGAACTACAAGCCATCAGCTGCAAAGGCTGACAGTACTTGTAGGCATTCATTCACAGAACTCACAGAAATGAATGAATGATGTGGTCGTGTGGGAGGAGCCCCGCACAGCCACACTGTTTTCAAATTGTGACAGCTGGTGCAAGGAGATGGTCCCTTGCACGGTGAAATAGAGGGGGCGGATCGGGGGTGAGGAGGTGGATGCTCACCATGTTACATGTTACACGGGTGTAACATATTGAGAAAGGTAAACTTATCCTTTAAGTTTTTCCACTCAGAAGGAGATGGGGGAGAGGAGTGTTTTTATGTCAAGTTTTTTTTTTTTTCACTTTTTACATAGAAATCCAGGAGTCTTAATAATTTCTTAGAATGCAAAGCAAGATAAAGGTCTTCTACCAATTCCAATAAACACAATTTAGGACACTGGATATTTTACATATTTTTTAATGCAACCCATAGTACTGCATTGCCATGCTTTGCTTTAGTGCACTGGGTTGCCGTTCCAAATGAATGACACACCAGTGCATCAATGCACATAGCACATGTCACAGCACTGGAACAGTGTGAACCAACCCATATATTGGGCACTATATATTTTATTGCTGTAACTTTTGCAACTTTATACTGTATGCCACATTATCTTATTTATTGATTTCTTAGTCCAAAATAAAAAATCCACATTTTTACCACATATTGAATTACACTAGAGTTATATTTTGAACAAACCTGCCAAAATGAGTATTGACAAGTATCCATTTCTGCAGAATTCTCACTGTGATTCATTTGAAAGCAGTGGGAATCCTTGCAAACTTTCTCAAATATTTTACTCTTTTGTATCAGTATAAACACATTTACGTTTTTTAGCCACATAGCTGTCTATCTGGTTTAAAAATGTTCATATCAATTTGTGGATAGTGCAATTTCTTTTGCTCAGCTGAAGTTTTCATAATTTCAGACTGAACATGTTGGATAGACGGACTTATTTCACGCACCACTTCTGTGATACCACAATAAAAATACATTTTTGGCACAGTCCTTCTCTCCCAAACACTAAACTCTGCTCTGATTAAGTGCAATGTTGCACTTCCTGACTTGTTATATCCTGAATATAGTGCAATTAGTGCAGAAAATCTTCACCACTCACAATTCCCAATGCTCAGTGTACATAATAAACACAACCTATTTAAATCCTGATTATTTCTTATATATAAATAAATCACTCCATGTGTATAAAATGTTTGGTGTAAAAACGGATCGCCTTCTCTTACCATCCAAGGGTAATAGACTGTTCTTGCAAAAGTTGTGTATCCACTAAGAAATGTGAAATTCTATGCCAATGTAATATACCAACATACAATGTAAAATGTGTTAGCTGCCCCTTAAAGTGCAAAATCACTTGAGAAAATATTTAAAGTAAAGTATGGCGTTTCACATGCATGCTTAAACAAACAGTAATTTGACTAAAATAGAAAAAATAGATACATGGAGTTAACTATAAATCAGCAAGTCCAAAAAAAGTCCCACAACAAAATTGTGGATCAGAAACAGTGCATAGTCTTCTAGTGCCCAATAAATTGCTTCATGCAGATCCTCTTTGTGCTCCAGTACCGTATGCCAATATATTGCACTCACCAACCATCCATGACCCCTTATTTAAAAGAAGGACTTATGTGCTTTGTGTCCCCAAGGTTTAAGAATATCAGTGGATCTCCTTTCAACATTATCTTAATTTAATTCCACAGTTCATCATAAATCAGAAGGGGAAATTTCTCATAGTGTAGTAGATTTATTGTAAAAATGGATTGTTTTTCTTTTTGTGTTGGCCAGGTATACAATTGTGCTACACTAACTTGCTGTTAGAGATCACACCCAATGTTTCATGTCTCTCACCCGGTTTAGCTGAGCTACTCCATACACCACCGATCCTGGCAAAGGTAATGGAATGTGTTCCTGCATACACAAGCTCCACCGACACATTTCATCATACAGACACTGTCATAGGATATGGCCGGTGCACACTCAACCTCCTACAACCCCTACAACAATTTCATATTGCCCTATGAGGATTACTTACCTAATTCACACTAGAGTCTCCATACTGCAATTGCAAAATGGTTGCTGGGCGGGACATTCTTCATTCGGGTGGAAGTCATATGATCACTGTACTGGCACAGATCACTGTATTGGCCCGCTGCCAGTACCATGTGGTCGCTGTAACCAATCACAGCAGATCACATGACAACTGTAAACAATGAATAGGTTTGATTCATGCAATTAATTGTGTATAATTAATTGTGCTGCTAGCTGGTATTGATTACAGTAATCACATGGTACAGACAGGACCAATCACAGCCCATCTGTACCATGTGATTCGCTGTGGCCAATCACAGCTAATCACAACAATACGTAATATATGCTTGCCTATAGCAGTGAAATTCACAATGAAAAAAGTGTAAATGTTACTATGGTAAAAATATTGCTGTGGTCACAAAATACGTAATTGCTTGCCTATAGCAGTGAAATTCACAATGAAAAAAGTGTAAATGTTACTATGGTAACATAATATTGCTGTGGTCACAGTGTGTTAAAAAAAATGTAAAAAAAAAGAAAAAAAAATAATTAAATACAAATTAAAAAATATATATGTCCCTGATGCCATACCAGTTATATGATGATGCTGTACTGCACTGGTAACAGTATGTAAAAAAAACAAAATTGTGAAACAGTCTTTTTTTCATTTCTTAAATTTAAAAAAAAATGACAAAAGATGACAACTTCAAAAAACTCTCCATGCCTCTTACTAAATACCCTGCACTGACTACTTATCAAAAAGGGGTCATTTGGGGGATATCTGTACTGTCCTGACATTTTTAGGCCTCATGAAATGAGACAGGCCATCAGTACATCAGAATTGATTGATTTTCAAATATATACCATAGTTTGTGAACTCTATAACTTGGCAAAAAATTATAAAAATGTAATTTGGGTACAGTGTTACATGACGGTACAATTATCATTCAAAGTGCTACAGTGCTGAAATCTGAAACTTGGCCTGGGCAGGAAGGGGGTGAAAATGCCTAGTATGGAAGTGGTTAATCATCAGTTAAAATTGTGATGATTTGTCCCCTTTCATAAAAATTCACACTTTGTATATGCGAATCAGCTTCCCCTCAGTCACTAAAAAAAAGTTCAGTCTATATCAACATTGAACTCCATTATATAAACACACAATAACATAATTCATAAATACAAATCAGATCCCCATTCATTGTCAATAATAAAACAATTAAGATCTATATCCAAACCCAAGGTGATATCCATTTGGTCTGTGCCTTTGATAATATTCCTTTAAAAATCCCTCCCCTCCAATTTAATCCTATTTTCTCTGTTCCCCAGGATTGTAATCCTCCTGGAGTTTGTTTTAGGATATTTTCTAAAATGGTCTGATACACTGTGCTGATTGAAACCACTTTTTTTGTATCATACATTAAACATGTTCCCTAATGTGCTCTGCTAATGTGTGGGTAGTTTGACCTACGTACAGATGCCCACAGGGACATAGTAACATATAAATTGCTCCTTTTGTGTAGCAAGATAATAAACTGTTTAACGTGATACTGCATCTTGGTAACCTTATACTGTATATATGTGATGTCACAAAACCCTTTGTTATCAGCTGGTGAAACGTGTGCAATGAATGGATTTGCTGCATGTTTGTGGGCCTGTATCTGTCACTGCACTGTATAATCTAAAGTACGAATATTTTTATATCTGAGCCAATATTTACATTTCTAAAAGTCACATCAAATTTACTTCAATGTAAACAAGGCAATAATAACCTAAATGTGAAAATAAAAGTAACAACCTGTGCTACACCCAATATATAATGTGAACTAATATATAAAAATATATTTATATGAATGAAATGAAATAAATGAATAAATGGATAAAGTGAAATGCCGCTACTCTCTTCTTGAATACCAGAATAATCAAAA